TGTGCCTGTAAGAGAAGCGGGGAGCAGGTGTGCACCCCAATTCCTGCTACACAACAGTGGAGACCTGAGGACTCCATGTAGCCACATCTCCCATCTTTAGTCAGCAACTGTTTCCACAGCGGCAGAGTTGGAGAGACGCCTGATCTCTGTGCCTTCGGCAGGCTGTGCAAACTTCTGCTTTCCAATGTGAAACTCACCCCCTGCTTCACACTCAGTGTCAGAGTTAAAACAACATCATGCTATCAAATCGTTTATAAATGTTTATTAAATGTCAGTAATTTTTACAAAGCAAATATTAATAGTAAAGAGACAAATTTTGCAAAATATGTACAAAAGTAAGAAGCCTTAATGAATAGCAACTCGTTTTATAAAATGAAACCATTCCTTCCACTCTCAGACCTCCTGTAGAAATAATTTACTGCTACTCTGGAACCAAAACACTGGCCAAAAAAAATTTACAACAGTATCAGATAATGTGCTTAGTTCCTGGAAAGTTATAAAAAGATGTACGAAAAGAAATCTAAGCCACAAATACTTTTATACAGGGTAATATAAACCATGTCTCGTTAGGGACAGTATCTGAGGATTGCACTGAGTGCTTCGGATAAGGCTTCTTGTGCCCTGCGAGCTCACACCTAATGGAGAAAAGCCACCTAAAATATTTTGCGATTCTGCTTTCAAGTAAGAAAGAGTTAAAGAGAGGGCACACGGTATATCGTCTGCTTCATTACCATACGCACCCAGCAAGAACACATTGCCTCCTTCCTCCCTGTCACTCCTGGTACCATCACACAGGCATGGTTAATATAAAAATCACCACTCATTTTAGCAGGGTTGTGTCTGTGAATAAAAATCAGAATTACAAACCCAGAAGGTAGTTTATTATGGTCAGTGATTATCACAGATTGAAAATGTATGCCTCCTGGATTCAGGTAGGCTTCAATCCATCTGGGATCTCATCACCATAACATAGCAAAGGTCACAAAAATCGCTTTGCAGCCCACAGAACATTGCCCCATCCCAGTGCTTTAAAAGGAGAGTGGGAGTCTCTGCACTTGCGGAGCTGGGCCAGCAGGATCTCAAATCTGAGATCAGCCCTGGGTACACAGGGAGAGCCTGTGTCAAAAGCACACAAATACACAAGCAAACAAATGTAAAACAATGCTCTGTGCACTCAAAACTGGCTGCTTAGACCTGAAAGCTGTATGGAGGGATGGACAGGTCAATTCAGGTGGATGGAATAATGCTCGTGGACAAACACTGTTTTGATCAATCTGGCAAACGCCTTCCAGGCAAGGCTAGTGGTATGTAGCTGATGGTATCTGAAAGGCCATCATCAGGGTTTAACACAGAATTCAATCTCTAGTGTAAACTGCCTAAGCCCTAACCTCGTACCATAAGAAAATGGGCATCTCGTGCCCCAGGCTTTCTAGACTGAAAAGCCATCCCAATTTAAAAAAAAGAAAAAAGAAAAGAAAGTAGAAAGTGCTTTCATTCAAGCAGCACAACACAAAGATCACTTGGCTCATGGGTTTTAATGTGCTGGAACCATAGAAGGGGACATGATTTCCATACGGTTAAGGACCGTCAGAACTTCACTCTCCATCTTCCAAATAAAATGAAAAGAAATGAAAGGTAACAGAGCGGCTTTCTCTAGGTTTATTTGGGAATTTGTTACAAATATTTAGCTGGGCTTTACAGGTAGGGTGCATGGGTTCATACAGGAAATTCAGATTAACACTGACACTTGGTCTTCTCAAATGAGAAAAATAACATCGCTACAAATTGCAACCCAGAGTCACGTTTCAAATGGTTTGTTTGGGGTTTTGCCTAAATGTATCATTAAATAATGAAAGCACCAATTTGAGGGATTTCCAAATAGCTTGAGTTTCAGAATATAACCGCATAACTTAGACATTATTCTTCATATGAGCAAGGCATAACCGGGTGTGAATACGAATGCTGAGAAATGCATCCCATCCGAACAGAAGCCCTCGAATTTGGCTTACCCTGGAAGGTGACTTACTTAGAGGGCACGTGCTTTTTGCTGCATCTAACAACACTTCTTGTCACTTTCGGTACCAATGTGGTCTTTCTTTCTCTTACCTGAAATCAACAGCTGCCAACAACTGAACAAGCATTTCCCTATAGAGCATGGGCTTGCAAACTTCACAGAGGACCCCTTAGGCGTGAAGTGCCCACCAATGCCTGCGACAGGAAACATGCTCCTCTTTAGGACACCCTGTCTCATTTGGCTGCAGCTGCCCTCTGGCTATCAAGTACCCTTTCCAGAGAGAAAAACTAAAATGGAGGCTTCAATTTAATACAGACAGCATTTGGCAGAAAGAAACATTTCAGGCATTAAAAAATATTTAAGTGGCAGAAACACACCTTGAATTAAGATTATATGAAACCATGGAACAAAGCCCTTTCCCCATTTTAAAAAAAAAATTAGGGTCTAATTTGTGATGTTCTTTCATTTATAAGGCAACTCTGTAAAATATAAAAAATTTCAAAGTTAACCAAGACACTTGTGTGATCATTCGTTGGTATGCAGCAAGGGTGCAGGATCTCAGAATATGTGGAGTTAGGCACGGGTCATTACACTCACCCCCAAGACATGCAAAGCCGGTCCCCACAGAGCCTCAACTCCAGGTCACACTTTAGGGACCTGGGAGTCCGCACAGGGAGGGTGGAGCACCTTTTTAATTCTGTTGACTAAATCTTGCCCTTCCTCTTCACACAGCAATATTTCAGTATTTCAATTCACGAAAGGACCTGACTTTCAGGATGGAGGTGTTAGATTCCTTTCAAGCGTGGAGCAGAACTTTCTGGCTGGGCCTCCCAGTTCTTTGCACTCTAAACAATCCTATAGAAACTGCCAGTGAGTAGCCCACTGCTTCAGCATGTGTCTGGACCGCATTTGGGTCTGAGATTCTGCATGCTTCAGAAGGAAGTGCAGATGCCCGGGGTACTGTGTCTAGTCGGTGCTCCTGTCATTTCCTGGTGATAGTCACAACGGAGAAAAGTCAGTGATTCTGCTCGGCCAGGTACTATTTGTGTTCTCACCACAGAGCTTAAGTGTAACTGGATACAACTGCTTTCTGGAGGGGCTGACTTTTGCCTTCACTGTAGTTAGTTTTGGCCAATGCACAAAAATGTTTGCTAAATTAACACAGAACAAACCAAGTGTTACTGTGCACATGTTCAAATGTTCATCGGCACTGGAGTTATGCTAACCCCATGAATTTAAATGATACATTCTTTTTTGGCAAAAAGGACTAGATGTAGAACCATTCAGGTATGGATAAATTATGCTAACAACACCTGTACTTCTGATATTGGACTACATGTCTTAAGCTCATGTATTACCAAGGCAAGAAAACATTGGAATTTATAAACAAAAAAAGACAGCAAAAGTTCAAATCCAAGACAAATCAGGTCTATCAAGAACATATCCCTTTTTAGCACACTTAAGAGGCCCAGCTCTCATCCCTGCCAGTAAAGAATAAGGACCACCATTGCCTGTGAGCCACAAAGTTGACCAATCTTTCAGGGCCCTATTTCTTGTCTGAGAAAAGTCACACAGTAAAATGACAGGCACCACAGTCCTCATGCATTCTCCAAGGAAAGCAGGGGTGTGCTCAGGCTCTGCAAACTCTCACAGGCCAGCTAGAACATGACAAATGTTTTAGAATGTCAGTCACTATGGTATATCTAATCACAAAGCTACTTTATGGGCATGGTTTAACTTAGCAGTGGTGTGTGTGTGTGTGTGTGTGTGTGTGTGTGTGTGTGTGTGAAGAAGGAGAGAGAGAGAGAGAGAGAGAGAGACAGAAAGGCAAACCTCTGTAAGTATGGAACAAAAGAATTACTTATCCTTAGCTGCATTCTTAAGACATTCAAATGTACCCCAATAAAGCTGTTACCCCATACACAACAACAGCACCAACACACACAAACTTGTGTCGCCAGGGACACAAAGCATGAATGGGCTACTCAAATGATACCTTCTTGAATATTTCACAGGAAAATACTGCCCTCCAAGCTCTTGGTGACAAAAGAACCCCCAAAATGGCACAGTTCAGAGTTGCTGAGATTGAGACAGGAGGGCAAAAGAAAGAAGATCCAACAGTGATTCCTTCCAGCAAGGCATGAAACCAACTGAGACAGGACCAAAAAGTCACGCACGTGGCACTCTGGAACAGCTATGTTGATTCTTGTTACCAAGGTGCTTGCCCTTTCTAGTTGTTGCTATGGCCAAAATGTTTCTAACACAGCACATCAAGTTACTGATACTTAAATATGGAAAAGGCAAAATGCACGTCAACATAGTACATGTACCATTTGTGAACGCATCAGCATCAGGCCGAAATCCATACTGTAAACTTAAAACACTAAGGCATTACCTTTAGAAACTAAAGAAATGGAGAAGAAAACTACTGCTGTGTGTAAGCCTCTGAAGATCTAGACTGCTATTTCTTAGACTGAACTTTCTCTAACAGCCCTTTCAGAACAGGGGCTCCCGCTAACTAGGCATGCCACTGCTGTGTAAGGCACTCTCTCTTGGGTCTCATCTTAGAGCTGAACATTCCTAATCTCATCCCTACAAGTAGTTAAGGATACTGCCTATGCTTGGCACTGCAGGAGAATTCAGTTTGCAAGCAGAAGAATTCAAAACCTGAAATACACCTAGCGTGAGGCTGGCCAGGAAGTTACAACTGGACTTGAATGGAAGCTACGGTGAACCTGATCAAAGCCTGAATTCCAGCAGATATTGGCAATGTGTTAATTCAGCAGCTTTCAGCCACAAACTAAAGGCCACAGAAGGACTAAGATTTCCAAGAAGTTAGACACAGAATTGAGATCTTTCTAACTGTTTTTGTAAACTGCTATTTAAAAAAAAAAAAAAAAAAAAAAAAAAAAAAAAAAAAAAGGACGAACAGAAGACAATCAAAACCACAACAAGGTATTGAAACAGCAAATAGCAAGTCTTGTCATCACTGGAGCATGAGCTGCTTGAGGTTGTCGTGGAGGATCGTGTCCTTCACGTCTCGGAACACGAGGCGGATGTTCTCTGTGTTGATGGCGGTGGTGAAGTGGTGGTACAACGGCCTCTGCTGCTGGTCCCGGCGTTTGCCCCGGAAGCATTCCACCAGAAACTTTTGGACGTCTCTTAAGCAGTGTGGGTCCCCTTCAAATTCTAGGAAATAGTCTTTGATGCTCACAACTTGCACTTTCTCTTCAAGCAAGTCTGTCTTATTTAAGAAGAGGATTATAGAGACATTGCTGAAAACCCGGTTATTGACAATTGTCTCAAATATGTTCAGAGATTCTGTAAGGCGATTGGTCAGGCGATCCTCCATAAGCACCTGGTCAAATTCACTTGAAGACACAAGGAAAAGTATTGATGTCACACTGTCAAAGCATTCAAACCAACGTTTCCGTTCTGATCTCTGGCCACCTACATCAACCATTTTAAAAGGAACATTTTTAATTTCAAAGTCGTACTCATGGATGCCTTTGGTGGGTCTCCTGGCAAGCAGAATATCTTGCTGTGATGGAATGTAATCCTGGAAGAGAAAAGGGTTTATACTTAGAGGAGTCCACAAGTAGCAATAATGAAATGATTTTTAATGTGCAAATTAAATGATTTTCAAAAAAAAAAAAAAAAAAAAAAAAAAAAAAGGCAAGGTCTCACTAGTAGCTCAGGCTGGCTTCTAACTTACGATTCTTTGATCCTCCTGCCTCAGCCTCCCAGGTGCTAGAATTACAAGTGTGTAGCTCCACAGCTGGCAGCACTTCTCACACATAGGTGGAACTCCCAGCTGACTTCACCCACCTGCACTCCTAGGTCAAGCTAGAACGATTTCCCTGCCCATGCATCTCCATGCTGGTCCTTGCCCCTCTAAAAACAGGGATCTGTGAATAATTCATGAGGCTCACTTCCTGTGCCTGGTTCTGACCTCCTCTTTAACCCGTTACAAATGCTTCTTCATTATACACATCTCGTTCATGAGGCTGAATAAGCTCCACACTCTCATCCATGTGGAAAACACTTTACCTAGCTCGAGTGATTAACAATCACATTTTAGACCATAAGCTAGTCTGTTTCCAGGCAACGGTTCAAGCAGCTCTTACTCACTGAGGAAGAATGTACTCAGAGCCCCAGTGCCTCTGCTGAGGAACAGCACATTCATACCTGGAGGGCATTCACACCTGGCATACTTGTCTTGGAGGTGCATCACTGCCAAGAATGTTAGCTCTTCCTGAACTCTTCCTGTGGCCACTGCTATAGAGTGACCCACTGCTACTGTGATGATCCTCCTGCCTCTGCCTCTTAGTGCTAGGATTATACATTCATGCACGCACGAGTGTGTGAGTGTGTGAACACAGGCATGTGTGTTCACTCTCATGTGTAAGACAGTCCTGTGATGCTGTCCTGGAATTTGTTGACAATTCTCCTGTCTTAGTCTTACAGTGCCACGATTGCAGATCCTGCCACCATGTCAGGCTTTCCAGATCTTGTGAGCACAGAAACAAGATCCTGAACAAAGGCAGCTGCTGGTTGCAGGAAAGAGCAACTGCACTCAGTGGCACACTTCCTTCCGTGCCCTGATGGTTCTTCTTTCTCAGGCTAGTACTTTTCCATAAGTCACATGGCTCTTTGGCAATACTGAAACAGGAGCAGTTTTAATACTTATCTTCATGGTCAAAATATTTTAAAAGTCAAGGCAGGATGGAAAACTGACTTACAAGCTGTGCCTGCAACTTATGCCTTTCCAAAGGCTCAACACATAGTAGGGTTCTGCAGCTTCAATAGCAGAGAAGCAAATGGGATTCTGCGACTTGCCCTAAGTTCACAGAATGAGTGATGAATGCAGCTTTAGCCTCCTCTCCTTCACAACAACGCACTGGCTACACAGCCCTCCTTTGTACTCTACATGGCTTCAGGACTCTTCAGCCCAGCAGTTTACGCACCTACTATAAAAAGCCGGGATTGGCTAGACTACTTATTTACATTTACAAGCTATTTGTTGACTGCATACTTTGTGCCAGGTACTGTCACTAGGCACCAGGGACTTTAACTCTTACAATCAAGCTGGCAAGTGTGGTCCTCACAACAGAATGGGTAGAAGACAAAGTAACTATCAACTGTGAGACATGTAACAAGGAAGCAAGGGCTGATACAGACAGCTGCCTTACAAGCCTGCTGGGCCAGCACTAAAGCTCAGGAAGAGTTCAAGGTCATCTTTGACTACATAGTAAGTTCAAGTCTAGCCTGAGCTACAAGAGACCTAGCCTCAAAATACTACCCAACAATCAACAAAACCCCAGCAACAATGAAAAGGGGATGCATATGAATGATGTGTTTTGAGAAAGAACTAACTGAAAAACAGAAAAGCACATCAAGTTAGCTCTGTTTAGACTGTAAGAAAGCACTCTTTAAAAAAAAAATCATTAGCTAGGCATGATGGTGCATTCCTTCAATGTGGGAGGCAGGCACAAGCAGATCTCAGTGAGTCTGAGGCCAGTCTGGTCTACAAAGCAGTTTCCAAGGCCAGGTAATGAGACCTGGTCTCAAGAAAACAAACAACAACAACAACAACAACAAATGAGAGCTGGTCTAGGGTATGAGGAGGGCATGGGTTAATTCCCAGCACTCACATGGCAGATGTAACTACAGTTCCAGGGGAACCAACATCCTTTTCTGGGCTCCTGGGGTACCAGGTAAGTACTCATACACACACAGACAAGAGCTCATACACACAAAATAAAAATAAGTAACTTAAAAAAATGTTTAGGGCTGCGGAGGTGAGCTCAGTCAGTAAAGTGTATGCACACAGTCGAAGCCCGAGGCCCTGAGTTTGGATCCCCAGCACCCACATCAAAAGGTGGGTGTTAACAGAGCAGCACTTCCATCCCAGAGCTGGAGAGATGGGGACAGGAGGGTCCCTGGGCTGTCATCAGCTAGTCTAGACAAATGGTGAGCTCCAAGTTCAGGGAGACAGACCCTGTCTCAAACAAGGTAAGAAACAACCAAGGAAGACACACAACACTAGCCCTAGGCCCCTCCACCAGCATGTGCTTACGTGCAAATATAACCCGCCCGCCCACTAGTCCCCTAATGCTTTTCTCCAGTTCATGTATTAGGTGTACAAAGTAAGTCATAAAGAACTCAAGTTCTGGGAGATACTTGTATCTGTGGGGGAAAGCACGTTAAAAAAAAAATACTCCTTTAAAGGCAAACAAATGCAATTAAAAACTTAGTTTTGTTTTTTAAGACAGGCTGGCCTGAAACTTATGATCTACCTGCCTCAGCTTTCTGAGTCTAGAATTCTAGATGTGTTCCAATACACCAGCAGGCAAATTCAATTAGAGAAAGATAAGGAAAATGTGAAAATGATCCTGCTAAGGAGAAAAGTTCAGTCCCAGTGCCCCGAGTACTCGGTGCTTACCGTCTTCCCAGCAGCAGGTCAGTTCTGGGCTTTTCTTTTCTTTTCTTTCTTTTTTTTTTTTTGGTTTTTCGAGACAGGGTTTCTCTGTGGCTTTGGAGGTTGGCCTGGAACTAGCTCTTGTAGACCAGGCTGGTCTCAAACTCACAGAGATCCACCTGCCTCTGCCTCCCGAGTGCTGGGATTAAAGGCGTACACCACCAATGCCCGGCTCGGTTCTGGGCTTTTTCATCAGCACACTAACACTGAAGCCTCAGAGCCCAGAGTGCATTGAACCCAACAGAGATCTAAGAGGCAGCAGAGGCAACAGCACAGATTCCATGACTAACAAATTACTTCTAGGGCAATAGCTCTAAGCAGTGAAAACCTTAATTCCAACCACTCTTGGGTGTTCGCCAATAGAGAGAGCAGACAGACAGTAGCTCTCGCTCTTTGCTTGCCATGGGTACAGGGAAGCCATGAGCAGGCCTCAGCCCAGCTGAGTCACAGGCTCTAGTAAACACTGGGAAGATAAAAGAGTCCCCTTCCAAGGGCAACTCTCTCTTACCTCAGTCTCTTCAGCAGGCCTGGAGATAGAGCCCCACTCACTTCCCTGACTCTAATACAAAGGAGTCCTGCTCTATTTCTGTTACAGAAACCCCAACAGCATTGAAAAATAATAGATAATGGGCAATCTCATTTTCAAACACAAATCTCTTTCATGTTGAAAAAAAAAAAAACAACTAAGAAATCTGTCAGTGTTCGCAGCTATTAACCCTCTTTAAAAGGAAGAATCAGGCCGCTGCCACTAGAAGAACAGGAGAAGGCAGGCTGCTTAGCATTTCCTCTAACTTTCCTAACAAGCTGCCCCCAAAGCTATCCCAATCACTGCTTCCAAGTCTCAATGACCATTGTTTTGAAACTTACTGGTACTCCAAGTTTATCCAAGTTATCCAGGAAATACTTCACAGACTCACCCTGAAAACAAGAAGAAAACAAAGTTACAAGGGCCTAGATGCTACACAGTTTATGCTGTACTGTGGGGCTGTACACTTGGTTCAAACACACTCTCCTTAGTCACACTCAGGGAAGGTGAAGCAGGAGGAGAACCAAGTGTA